TAAAATTATTTTAACATGTAACTGTCACAGGTACATATTCAAGTAATACAGATATATGTCAAAGATCCGAGAGCAATGGTGACTTTTAGATAATATTATGACGGTGGTGGTGGGTGATGATGCGGTACGGTGTTTATGTAATTTTAGCGTTAGTCCTCTGGTCCAATGAGTCACGAAGGACGTGGGCATACTCTATCCCATTCGCTACTGGAACCAGGAAGATAATCATAACCTTTGCCCCCCTCACCTGTGACCCTCCGGCTTGTCCACTCTAGAGTAGCGAGTGGTGATGGCCAGCAGAGAGGATTGAAACACCAACCCCACAAGACTCAGCAGCTTGGTACGCTCCATCGTCCGCAGTTTTCTCTGTGGGTCGAAGAGTGAAAATAATAAGTTTACGTGCTTTTCACACGTAAAGTTCGAGTTTGAAAGGAGATTATACCAGCGGCCTACGAGACTTAACAGCTTCACTCTCGCACCCTAGATCAGCTTTAAGTAAATTTATATTTCAGATCACGAATAACAGAAAGTTCGCATTTATCAATGGAACACAAGGCCTTTAAAACTTTGTGGTAAATATTAAAAAGAAAAGGACTTAAGATGGAGATAATTACATCAAAGAAAATGCAGTCGTCACCTCATAAGAATTCTTCGCGTAAAAGACCTGTACGCCTAAGACCTCGTTTTTACCGCGTGTCAATTTTTCCTCTATAATTTGTATGCCTAAAAACACTTCCACAATAGAAAACCACCAGAAGAACCTGGTTTGAACAGAGAGCAATAAACCTTTCTAAGCTGCTTTTCCATACTTTGCGCTCAACGGGATGAAGGACAAGGGTTAGGCATGGGCTAACGCGATGAAATCTACACACTGTGTTCACTCTTACACTGAACGTACTCTTAGGCACGCACGTGCGCTCTCCCGATCATGTCAACCGTTAAGTGGTTTTCGATTAGTACAATCTCTAAAACTTGCTCCTCTCACGAGATCAAAACGTTCAATAAGTAGAAAAGCTGGCTCATTCACATTTATTGTTTCCATTCACTTGCACAGCATTGCGACTTGTGCTGTTTAGTTCCATAGTTGAAATAATATACTTTCACGCCATAGCGACAATGCTGCGTCGTATTCTTTTTTTTAAAGAAGTCTGTACACAAAACAACGCACACCACTCAGATATGCACACATGTTTGATTTTGTTTGGGGGGGGTTAAGACAACCTGCATGTTTTCCGTAGACCATCGGTATTGCCTGCGAGTCAATACTTCATCACATAGTAAACAAAGGAAGTTAACAGGTAGGAGATCAGTTTTACTCCTTCAAATTCACCTTCAGAGCCCGCCTTTTCTGTCTCTGAATGACCAGGCTCTTAGCCGGAGAACACTCTATTACACCTTGTCATTATGAGTGCGTCTTATCAGAGAGGTGAAGGGTTAATTAGTATAATGTCATCATTTTTCGTTCGTTTGTTTGTTTGTTTGTTTTAGTAAAGAGACGCATATCTACACAATAAAAGTCGTTTGGTGCTGGGAAAAGGTCAGACAGACAGACAGACAGACAGACAGACAGACAGACAGACAGACAGACAGACAG